ACATTTCAAAATCATAAATAAATACGAACCTCCGATAAACAATAGAAAATGTATTCAAGGGTTATCTTAGTGTTATGTAATATAACATCAACCCTAAGTTTATACCCATGTTTATTTGTGTAATATCTTTACCCAAAAAGCCCTATTTAAGATCAAAAGTATTGAGAAAAAGAAATGGACCTTGGTCATCGATCTTGCATTCTTCCTTGGACTAAAGAGATGAAACGTCTCCTTCCACACATCCACGCATCGGTATTGACCACATCAACAAGGACACCTTTTCCTCGTGCATCAGATGATAATAATGATCTCTCCATGGAGGAATCGCTAAAGAAGGAGAGAGATTTTTTTGTGAAGAAGAGAGACACGAGAAAGAGATAAGGTTTTTTGACTTGAGATTCTTTACATGTGTAAAAGATAAGCCACATGAGAGAGGATTTATATCTGTTTGATGTAGTTAATTACGAGGAGAGACGAATGTTTAATTAGAGAAAAATGACAATCTTTACATCCGTAAAGTTTTAGATTTTTTGTTTTATTTTTCAGTTTTAGAATTTTGGGCAATAGATTAACCTTAAACATTAAAAAAAAAAACCTTATTCAAGTTAATTTGCTTTTTTATTTTCATATGGTCAACCTAAACTTATTTTCCTATTATATTCACTAAAATTAAAAAAAAAATCCATGCGAACAAAAGAGAGAAAATTAAATGTAAAAAATTAAAACACTGACCAAGCAATCACGTTTTACGTATTACGGTATTAGTTAATATAAATTATGTGTTCTGAAAATTTATCGCAATTTATCACAATTATTACAATTTTTTTTAACTAATATTCTTATCTCTCTTTTTTTTTTGTTTAACAGTTATATCTCTGTAACCGTTAAATGAGTATTAAGTCAAAACTTCCCTATGCAGATCTGTGTAAGCAATTGCTAATGTTGATGATTAGTGTTTGCAAATTCTTCAAGTGATAATTATTGGCAAATAAACTTTGGTGAGAAATGTTCCATTTCAATAATTGTAAAAAAGGTAATCAGCCAAAAAAATTCAGATAAAAGAACCAAATGTCTTCATTTTGTTTCTGATGCATGGATCAAGGAGATTCATTGCACGATTTAAAATGACATTACATCTTAAATATATATATTGTGCTAATTTTAGAGTAGATTAGTAGGGAAATGAGAGATTGAAATATCAGTTCAATAAGAAATCATTTCCCGAGAGGATATGAATTTTTAGATTTGGATGCATATTATAGTTTGACATAATTAACATAAAAATAAATTATATTGTCATATTCTGGTATTGCTTTCTCCAACTCTTACATGACTTTGAGCTATATCCATAACTCTTATTCTCACTTAACGAAAACAAAACAAACAAAAAAGATGAGAGTTCCCATTGAGAAACTCTCTTGCTGAAGATACCTCCCAATAACTCTTAAATCAAGAATCTTAAGAGCTCCTCCAGATTTAACACATCTTGGAGTCTTATACTGATACATTGAAGATCCTTGTGAGATGTAGTTAACATCTTGGAGTCTTATACTGATACATTGAGGAACTCTCTTGCTGAAGAACCTCCCAATAACTCTTGAATCAAGAATCTCAAGAGCTCCACCAGATTTAACACATCATGGAGTCTTATACTTATTCACTGAAGATCCTTGTGAGATACTAAAGTCCATTAAAGAATCAAAAGTACCCAAACTCACCACTCTTATCTCCAATGGACCTATTGACTTGCCTTTGTTCCTGTATCTCCTGTACACGTAATCCAAACAGTCCTCAACCTCAGAGAAACAATCTTCCATCATCTTCATGTCTAGCTTTGGTGGTTCATTGTCGTGACGTGGCTTCAGCTCCTAGAAGAGCACGTAATGCCTTGGGACTGATGATGTGTCTTCATAGCTTGTGTACTCGGTGAGTGATGTATTGCATTTTTTACGTATTTCTAACCAATGTTTTCAATGATTTTTCGAGTCTTTTCTATGTCTTTAGAGTCTTTTCAGGTTGAAACACATTTGGATGGAGTTTGAGGCAAAGGAACAAAGAATGAGAACAAAGGAGCATAAAATGGCCAGAGTTTGGCATTCA